GGGGGGGGGGGGATAGAAGAAGAGAGAAAGTAGGGCAGGGAGAAAGTGGGTGAACGGAGCAGCCGTGAGCTGTTGGTGTGGCTGGAATAAGAAAAATGCTCTGTGCTACGTTTTAAAGAGAGGGGGGAAAGGAAAACAGTCTGGTTCTGTTTTATGTGGTGTGTGTGCAATTAGTGCCAAAGAGAACGAGAAGAGGATGGGGGAGGGGAGGGGGCTGGGGTACCCAGGGAGGAGAGGGGTTGAAAATAAGGACACAAGGAGAACAAAGGCTGAGAGAGAACTTGTCAGCTGACAGGGAAGAAGTGAATGAATGGAAGCTGCAGAAGGAGAATAAAACTGTTTTTGTATGTGCGACATATTGAACACCAGTGTTCCCAGCAGCAGCAGCAGCCTGGTTTTTCGGCAGCCTGGTGATTAATGAATGTTAAATGGAAAACTTGGAGTGGCTCCTTTGCTAGTCTGCTGTCTCCCTTGTGAGAGGAGGAGGAAGTCAGGAGAAGTGATATGTGTGAGAGAGAGAGTGAGAAACAAGTTGAGGCACAGAGTGGAGAGGATTTAAATGAATGATTTACGCCCAGCCCTATTGTATTGTAATGTAAGCCTTCATTGGACGTTCCAAATCTGACAAACAAACGTCTCGGTAAATGTTTAGTAAGTTCCCAAAAACTATGACGCAATTCCAGTCAACAAATGACAAAAGAAACATTCTTCCTAATTAATAGGCCCTAAGTCAGAAGTGACTTGTCCGTTAGTCTTAAACAGACACAGTGTTAATAATCGTCTGTCAGTCTGTCAGTCACTGAGCTGATGATCTGTTCCCGCCTGCTGAATCAGACAATATTGACGCACTGTAGTGATGAATGTAATTTCGATGGTGAATACAAATGAGACCATGAACCAGGTGTGTGTGTGCGTGTATGTGCAGCAAAATAAGATAGACCTTGTTTGTTTGTTTTGTGTTTGACCCAAGAAAGTTGTGTAAGTCTTCCAGCTTTGGTGATTTGCCTTTCTACTGTCATGATTTCGGGTCTTGAGTCACGGTTCAGCTAAAGCTCTCTCCTGTG